CTCGGAAGGGCTGATGCCTTCAGCCCTCCGCGTCCACTCATCGAGGACAAAAAGGCATCTGTGTTTGCAGCCCAACTCTGGGGCTGACTTCTTGGCAGCTCTCTGCAGGGAAGGCAGCTGAGACAGACCTCTGGCCATCGCAGAGTGGTGTTGGGACATGCTGGGAGCTGGTAACTGTAGACAAACCATTGCCCATAGGTTTTACCCTCTTTGATCTCCAGATGATACGAATCTCCCCGTGCCCTTGGCGTTCACACTCCTCTTCTGTTTGCCTTTCCCCTCTCCTTTATTGACCTGCAGCAGTCGGTAGATCCCCAGAAAGGTTTAACTCCTGGGCAGGTCCAGCACACAGCAGCTGATAAACACCCCACAGCTGGGAGGTTTGGAGTACTTAATTATTTCTCAGAAAAAAACCCCAACCCTTAGGGCCTCTTCGTGTAATCTTGAGCAAAGAGAAGCCACCAGATGGGCACACAATGATTAACTTTGTCTGTGCAAACAGAAGCCGAGATCCTCGCGCAGAGGAGGTGTGTGTGGGGAGAGACCCGGGTATAAAGGGACAGAGGCCAGGATGGAGTTGAGAGCAGTGGGACCGATTGCTCAGGCTCCCAGCGTCCGCTCAGCAGCACCACAGCAATGGGTGAGTTCTCTTCCCCCCAGCTCCTTTTTTGCAGCTCTCGCAGCTCTCAGGGATGCAAGTACAGAACCAAGCTAAGTGATGCAGTGCGGGACCGCCGGAGCAGGAGCTGATAAGAATGCCCAGTATCTGTCCAACTCCTCCTCCTTCCATTCAGCTGTTTCTTTCCAGTTCTCCGCTGCTGCTGCCACTGGGTTGTTTCCTGCATCCCTGTGAGGTGCATGCTCTGCACTTGGAGCACCAGGTTTTATATAGCAAATGCCGCTGCAGTGCTTTTAACTATTTGCTGTAAATGCCCCTTCTTTCCCATAAAAATACCCTTTTGCCTCTAGACCTGTAGAAAATAAAAACAAACCACGTTTAGGAAAAACTTGGGAAACCATGGCTGCAGGTTGCTGTCTGGTGCAGGGAAGGGGCTGACAGGGAGGGTGGCAAAGCCATTTCTCACCTTGCTTCAACCCTGCAGAGGCAGCACTAGAAGCTACAGCCCTCCCCCCCAGGAGCCCCCCTTGCTGGTCCGAGCACACGGGGGGCCAGGGGGCTGCCCAGGGATCCTGACGGTGATGAGCACTTTCCTCCCCAGGGCTCCAGGCTGGGACACACCGGCTCCACAGGGACCTTGTCCTCCTGCCCGCTGTGGTGGGGATGCTCCTGCTCTGTGCGAGCCCGGCGCGTGCGGCCAGATTCCAGGGCGGTGAGTACGGGTGACGGGGGGGGCAGCTGGTGACCTGCCAGGTTGGGGTGCAGCCGCACTGCTCATCGTCGAGCATGGCCAGGCTCCATGGAGCTGGGGGTGAGTGTCACCATGTTGCAGCAACAGAGACAGCAGGTCTCTGCACTCGAACCTAAGCTGCAAAGCAGCACAATTCTTCCCTCCCATTACCAGCAAAGAGTCGTTCCCAAAATGTCACACTGGTTGTGGAGTGCCCAGTGAGATGCAGCATCAGTACAGCTGCCCCACAATAACCTGTCAGCACATCCTCCAGTACAGGCGCCTCACGTCCTGCTCGATCTGCCACTGCAGGGTTCCCCGCAGACTGCAGCCATCTCAGCAGCAGCAGACCCAGCGGGGTGTACATCATCCAGCCGGCGGGGTCGCCCCCGCGGGTGGTGTGGTGCGACATGGACACCGAAGGCAAGGGCTGGACTGTCATCCAGAGGAACACTTACCCCACCGACATCACGTGGAAGGAGACCTGGACCACCTACAAGTACGGCTTTGGGGACGTGCAGGGAGATCACTGGCTGGGCACCGAGTACCTGCACCTGCTGACGCAGCAGGGCACCTACAAGATCCGCTTCATTGTGCGGAATAAAGCCAACGTCACCCATTACGCTGAGTATGACATCTTCAGCGTGGAGAGCGAGGCTAGCGGGTACCCGCTGCGGCTGGGCCGGTTCCTGGGCAGCGGGGAGGACTATTTCACCAGCTATCAATCCCGCTATGGGGGTATCCATGACAACATGAAGTTCAGCACGGCCGACAGGGACCAGGACCAATACAGTGGGAACTGTGCCAGCAACTACGGGGGCTGGTGGTACGACAAGTGCCAGAATGTCCTGCTCAATGGCAAGAGGTACATCTACTGGCCAGGACCCTGCCCGAGCGGCGACTGCACATCCTCCCTCATCCTGGTCAAACCCACGGATGTGTGCTGACCGTGCCTCCTGGGAGTTTTGGGGAGTGCCACTGTCCCCAGCTCAGTGCCCCGTTCCTGTGCCTGCCAACAGCCCTGTGCCAGCCCCAGTGCACATCCTGCACTGCCCAGAGCTCCTGCACTGCCACCAGCTGAAACGCAGAGGCTCTGGGGCTCAGGAGCAACTGCTCGGAGCCCTGGGCACCCATGGAACTTCAGCCAGTGCTGCATTGCTGTCTGGCACTGGGACACAGGCACGGGTTTGGGGTGGGTGCACCCACTCCTGTCCTGGGGAGGGGGAGACAGTGCAAGTTCCCTTCCCTGTGCAATCCGTGTATCCCTGCTTTGCTCAGGCCCTGCTCCCTCCCTAGGCCTCACACACCCCACAGCTCTGCTACCCATGCTGGGAGAAATCAGCTGCAATAAACCCTGGAGCCAGACTTTGCTGTCTTGTGTCTAACTGCCACCACGACTCTGCACATACACACATACACGGGAAGAGTCGAGGTCCCGGGGCAGTGGAGAATGCTGGGGGTCACCATGTTCATGGGGGGAGTCCCATTTATGCATCCCCTGTCTGAGACTCACCCTCTCCTTGCTCTGCTCCACGCCGCAGCTGGGAGAGCTGAATCCCCAGCCCCATCCTGCAGCAAGGGCTGGGGGGTGTCAGGGTGCCCCTGAGGAGCGTCAAGTCACCGGGAGAGGGGTTGATGCCATGGGGGATCCACGCCTAGAGCCGTCCCCGGGGTCCCTCGGCAGCCCAGGGCTGGGTGCTGGGGGGTGTGATGCTTCAAGGCCGCAGCAGGGTGGTAAGACCTGGGGTGAGCAGGGGTCCTGGGGCAGCCTCACAGTCCTCAGCCTGGGCTGTAGGACTGTGCCGGGACGGGCACACGGGAGCACTGGGCAGTAGCGGGAGTACTGGGTGATGACACCCTGTGCAGATGCCCAGCCTGCCCAGGCAGCGACCAGGGTGATGACCAGGGTGGTGCCCAGCAGGCAGCAAACAGCCCCTCTCCCCTTGGAGCTGGCAGTACTGTGCAAAGTACCTGTCCTTCCCAAAGCTTCTCCAGCATCAAAAACATGGAGTTTCTTTCTTTAAATGTAGCTGTGTTTTATTAAAATTACTTCCCTATTTTAGATTTTCCCTGCAATCCCACAATTTTTTTTCATAAGAAATCTGACACTGCCCTAGCACGGCTGCTC